ACTTTAGCCTGTGAGGATCAGTATTTTTTCTAGCGAGCACAGGTATTGCTGATCAGCTGCTGGAGTGATCAATTGGAAGTGCAAACCGAAAACGTCGATCTGTTGTGCTTTCGTCAATCTTCAGCTGTTCCTCTTCAGAATATGTATACCACCCCTTTATATACTATATTTTCATTTTACCAAGTCCTGGATTTTTCGTGGTAGCCAATAGTGGTTTTTCATCCTTGTATTAACAGTGATGATGGTTGACTGGGACACCCCCTGTGTGGCTGTGAGATCAATTGTTGTTCAGCTCGACCTATCAAGCTTGATACATTGATGGCAAAAGTACACAGGACAGATGAGAATTTGAGGGATATCTGAATGCCCACAATAGGGTTACATTTTGGGAGGTCGATCTAAGATCTTGGCAGAAAATTTACATAAAATTTGCGTATTCCCGACTTGATCTCTGACGAGCGGCATGGGATTTAGATCCTCTGTCGACCGGTACACCTATACCTCTTGTTTGTCAACTCGGTGTTTGGCCGTGGCTCCAGTTATATCCACTTATACGTTGCATACCTTTCTCCTTCCTTAGTTATCTTTTATGTTCCCTTGACGCTGAGGAAGTACGCCTTTTTTATTTCACTACCTACTAACGTACGCTTTCAGATTACTGTGTAGACTGACTGTGTCCATACTCGTTAGGTTCACTGGTCATCATCCTCCAAAATGGGAAGTTAGCCGAACCCCCAACGAATTCGTAAAATGTTACATTCATGCTCAAAATTCAGGTTCGCCAAAGAATTTTGGTCTTCCTGGTGCACTGATTGTAATGGATGTGAATGGCATCATTCATTTGAGCTTTGTTTACCTATCCTTTCGGACAGCTAGGATTTCTACTACCATGTCATTTTTGGGTTTTTCGTGCTCTGCCTAAGTTACATCGACTCGCCTGATGCTTTCTCGACGCATTGCACGATCTTACATCAGCACCTCAACTGGCCCTAGTTTCTGCAGTCTTGACACTTTGCTTTCGACATGACTGTGCTTGTTTGACTTCTGAACCAGTGTTATGCGGGTCGCACGACCATCACCGAAGTCATCAGTCAGGGTCATTGGATGGCTTTGACTTTCGCCCCAGTGACCGGAATCCCGAGGCCATGGTGCCTATGCTGGTCACGCTGACAAACCAGACAAATTAGTCCCAGGCTACCGTATCTGCGTGACCGGTGACTTTGACCTCTGCGTACCGGTGCTTCTGCCGCCTCATAGTACATTTCTTCTGCCGATATCCCCTAGCGATAATCGTAGTAGTGAAATAAATATATCTCTTTCTCCAGTCTTTCATGTCAAAAGATGCTAACACCGGGCTAAAATCCGTGATGGATATTCTCAATTCTGCATCATCACCAAAGTCCCCCCCTTCCCTCCATAAAAAAACTGTGCACTTCTTAGCTACGTCTCACTTCAAGTAGGAAACTTGAGTTGAAATATGTACCACCCCTGTTTGGGAACACAAGAGCATGTATAAATTCGGAAAAACATATTTGTAAAGGCTAACTATGAGGACTCAAAAGGCTATGTCCATCAACCCAAAGTACAGGTCCCAAATGAATCCAGCTGCCTCTTCCAGAATACTCTCCTCCACGGCTTCAATAAAGTCATCCCTTGTATCAGCCTCTTCAAGATGTCTTGATACGTATCGCTTCGGGTACTGGTATACCTCCAGATATCTTGCAAGTAACTTGGGAAGATGTAGTGGTGACATGGATCTTGGCCTGGAGGGCCCCGCTTGGCCGAGGCTTACTGGAGTCCTTGGTGAGCTGTGTGATGCTACGGAATTCAGGGAGGGTATGAGTAACTTTTAGAACAACACTCACTGGGAGATGAAAATATGTCCCCATTGCCAACGCTATTGACGGTCACATTCGAAGTGAGGTAGTTGCCATGATCTCATTTGAATAAGTAAAGTTGAAGGGAAATCCTTGATAAATTACTTACGAGTTTTCCTTGGTGACGAGTCGGGAATGTGCGCCTTCCCTTTCTGCTTCGAAGGGGTCCCCACTGGAGATGCTGTGGGTGAAGCTATGGTGGGTGTAGGGCGGGGAACTCAACTGCCAGCATGAAATGGTGAAGTCGTTGTGTTGGCCGGGTATTGATCTACGCATCCATACACAGTTGCACCACGCACTCATTTGACAGATTAGCGCATTTTCAATCTTATCGAAGCCGTGGGCCCTGCGATATGTTGGGTTTGACCGATCGACTTGGTCCACAGCGTGTTCTCTATGTCAAAAGTATGGTGAGTTTGATTCTGAAAAAGATCAAAAGACACACCAGTGATAGAAGATGCCTGCCCTTGCACCATATATGATGGCCCAGAAGGTGGCCCCATCGTTGTCGAACATTGCAGTGATCGTGGGCCGTTCTTGCCACTCATGCAAAGACGCTCTGAAAGTTACATCGTCCTCTTGGCCATGATACACCAGGAATGGATTCAAATGTGTGTTCAACACCAATGCCTGATCCTTTCTTTTGCAGTAAACCGTGACTGGCCACTTAGCGCCAGTAGTACCATTCGGAATCCACACCCTTCTGGATCATTCAATACGGTTCCGCTTAAGAAAGTGAATGACTTACAGTTGGTTCTCGTAGACTCCCGGACTGACACCGGATACATTAGGGGGAGAAAGAACAGTGCACCACGGTATTGTGTGGACCATCACAAGTGGAAGGGATTGACAATGCGTCGGACTATGTTTTTTTTACGATGGGGTGATTCTTGGAAAACGAAATATGGCCGGAATTCTGCCCGAAATAAGGGAAGAAAATCCTGAAGTCTTTATTCTATTGGCATCGTTACCATGAAGTCGTGCGTATGTTCTTTGAATTCTTCTGTTTCATAAGTACCACCTGGGTTCTTATGTCACGTTCTACTCGCATCACGCTCATCTCGAAGAAGGGGTTTCCAAGACGGAAAACTATAATGCCGAAGCACCTTAGTAACTTTGGACGGGCCTTTGATCCTGGTTTACTTATGTACTCGGATATTTGCCTTCCCAAACTTAAATTTTTTTTTGGCTAAATATTCTCACGGGCCATCCAGCTCGATGGCCAATGGCCAGAAAAGGAAACAGAACCTAGCAAAGTCCGATTGTCTTGAAGACCGATTGTTCTGTTTCGAAATTGTCAATAGTTACCATGTTTGCTTTGAAATATCGCCTTTTCCATTGGACACAGTTTTATTGTGTTTTTGACACAACGTTTATGTAAATACAAGAATGAACCTGCGTCACTGGTTCTTAAACAACTCATAAAATCCATCCTGTGGCACAGCTGCTCTCTGGAGACATTTTCTGTAAGAAGGGCCTAGTACCTTTGGGCGGGCCTTTGATCCCCGTTTACTTATTACACGGATATTTGCATTCCCAAACCCTGTGCATATCATACGAACATGCCTGAGATATAGCGACTGTCGACCCATTCTTCACGAGGGATCACAGAACCTGGTCATATGTGACCTCTTAGGCACAACGGAGGGCATTGAAGCGGAGTCGGGAGCCTTCACAAAGACCAGGGAATCCGAGGTGAGAAGTGGGAATGCCGCTATAGGAAGAAGAACCTGAGCCGCATGAACAAGATGGGTAGAACCATCGAAGTGTCACTCAAGCCTGTGAGAGGGCCGTCCCCCTTATTTAATTTTTTTCTTTTCTCCTTTCCATAGGCAATAGTTTCACACCACGAAACATCAAAGGAGACCACGAAAAGTTATGTAGAATTTCACCTTAGTGTTACACAGTCCATAGAGCCGATCAGTAGAATAGCATTACAACGAGCAGCGGTATAGATGCACATAGCTGTAGAGTAATATACCCCCGCGTCTTCGCCCATCACGAGGCATGTTGAGGGTCATTCCAGATCTTCATCATCGACAACAGCATTCCCAAACCTAAATAGTTTTTTTTGGCTAAATGTTCTCATGGGCCATCCAGCTCGATGGCCAATGGCCAGAAAAGGAAATGGAATCTAGCCAAGTCCGATTGTCTTGAAGGCCGATTGTTCTGTTTCAAAATCGTCATTAGTTACCATGTTCGCTTGAAACATTATTTCAAGCTGGCATGGTTTTAACGCAATGTCTCTTCACACGGAAAACATCTCCAGAGAACACCTGCACCATAGGATGGATTTTATGAGTTGTTTAAGAACCAGCGACTGCAGTTCATTCTTGTATTTACATAAACGTTGTGTCAAAAACACAATAAAACCGTGTCCAATGGAAAAGGCAATATTTCAAAGCAAACATGGTAACTATTGACAATTTCGAAACAGAACAATCGGTCTTCAAGACAATCGGACTTTGCTAGGTTCTGTTTCCTTTTCTGGCCATTGGCCATCAAGCTGGATGGCCTGTGAGAATATTTAGCCAAAAAAAAATTTAAGTTTGGGAAGGCAAATATCCGAGTACATAAGTAAACCAGGATCAAAGGCCTGTCCAAAGTTACTAAGGTGCTTTGGCCACCTTTCAAGTCAGACAGAAACGGGGGTTCATAAAAGTAGTTACGAACAAACTTCTATCAAGAATAGTGTTAGCCACTAACTTTATCGACTTAGATCGTGCTAAGGTCGCTACTCGCACTTCGGTAGGCGACGCTTTAGCAAGTCAAAGGCAACGAAGTCGATGGGACAGGTAGTCACGAAGAACGGAGTTCGATGTTAGGTAGATTAAACCTTAGCCGAAGCTGGGGTTCAGCCCAGCTGAGGCTCTACTTAAATACACGTAAGTATTCTAAAAATACTACTGCGCAGTCAGTCCGTGATGATCGCGCCTCGCGTAATCCGGCTGACTAAAGAAAAGAAAAGAAAAGAAAAGGAAAAGGAAAAGAAAAAGAAAAAGAAAAGAATAACCATAACATTACCCCCTCCCTAAGACTCATTCGTCCCGATGAGACACTGAGCCTCTGTTTCTCCTTCCTTCCGCAAGAGCGAGTATGAGGGTCTCCCTTCTGCTTTAAAACAGGATCCGACGTGCCTCCGCTACGCCATGAAAAGCCCCTCGTTGCGTTCGGCCTCTGACACGTTCTCCCCCTGGACTCAGGTTCCTATAAATCCTGAGCCACTTTGCGCCGGTTAGGCCTCAACTGTCTGTCGGGATCCACGATCCCTAAGGGTTCATTGCTCATAAATGAGCGGTGGAAATCCCCTTCTACACCGTAAGAAATGGCCTGTCTAGGCCGCGCTCATTTGGGATGAGTCGTTTGAAGTTATCTCGCCACTTGAGGTCGAGTGGCGTGATTCCAAATAGAAGGACCAGGTATCATCGTCTGTGTCCTCCTCGTTATTGTTGTCCGTATCCCAATTCTCGCGTATTCGTTCGAGGTTTTGGAGGTTTACTTCTCCTTCTTCTTCCTCCGGGCAATCATCGGGAAGAGCGATATGGTCAATGATTTCGGAGGAGGGATAAGAGTCTTGTTGGGTGTCCGAGTGTTTAGGGTTCGTGCACTCGGAGGAATACACCGTTTCGATGTCGGTAATACACGGGGTATTGTGGTCATGGTATTCGATCAGCAAGTTACGTGGTATTTTGTCGTCGAATCCAATAGTCTTTCCCTTGTCGTCTACTGTCCAAATGATTTTTTGGATGCGGGCTTCGTAATCGTTGACGAGGTCCTCAGCGTTGGCCATATCAGAACGCTTTACCCACGAGTTCTCCTCTATTGGGTATCCTCTCCATTTGACAAGGTATTCCGTGATGGTACGGCGGGTTCGTCCTCGACCAATAACCCGGTCTCTTTCTCCTGTGATCTCTTCAATTTCGTATTCTTCTTCATCGTCAATCAGTTCCGGTGGTGGTCGCTCAGGCCGGGGCTGATTGGGAAACTCTGGAGGTTGGTATGGGGTGAGTAGGGACTCGTTGAATCGATTATGTATGCGCCATTTGGAGGGCAGCTTCAGTTCGTATGCTGACGCTCCTTTCTTGGCTACGATCGCGAAAGGTCCTACTCGCCTGTCTCCTAGTTTCCTCGTGGGGCGAGGGAGGTTTAGGTTGGTGGAATCCAACCATACTTTATCACCGACTTGGTAGATTCGTGCCGTCCCTTTGTGCTTGTCATAGGATTTCTTCATTAATTCGGCTGCCCGTTCCAACGACTCTTTTGCCTTCTCCTGCACCTCCTGAATTCCCTGGACGAGTTTGGAGGCAGCTGGTACTGCGTCCGGACGTTGGGCTGTTTTGATTACCTGTCCGTCGCGTCCAAAGACCACTCTGTAGGGGGAAAAGCCCGTGGCTGAGTGCTTTCGGTTATTATGAGTAAACGCGGCGAGAGGTAACCAATCGCTCCAATCGTCTTGACGATAATTGACAAACATTTTGAGATATTTTTCAATCTCTTGATTGACTCTTTCGGTCTGTCCATCCGTCTGCGGGTGGTACGCTGTTGAAGGGTTCCCGGTTACCTGAAGAAGGGCATAGAACTCCTTCATGAACTTGGATACAAAGACAGCTCCCCTATCGGAGATAATCTTTTCGGGCATCACCCCGTACGGCACGTAGATGTAGTCACGTAGGATTTTCGCGAATCCAAGGGACGATAACTCTTCGGTGCATGCTATGGGGATGATGGTTTTGGAGAACCTATCGACTAGAACGAGAATGGAATTGTTGCCTTTAGAGTCTGGGAGTTTTGTGATCATGTCGACCGAGATGTGCGTCCATGGTCTGTTCGGAACTTCGTTCGGGTGAAGGGGCGCCTTCTTGGGGCGCCGATCTGCCTTTGTTCGTTGACAGACCTCGCATCCCTTTACGTACGCTTCTACTTCGGAGTGCATCCTCGGCCACCAATAATCACGCAGGATGAGCTCTTTCGTCTTTTCTATCCCCGGATGCCTGGCGGTCGCATGATCATGGCGTAGGGCGATAACTTCGCCTCGCAGTTGCCTGTCTCGGGGGACGTAAATGCGCCCATCATACCACAGTAATCCTTGTTCTCGAGAAACCCCCTTCTCGTGATTGAGGGAATCTGAGATACCCTGATCCCACTTGCGGGGGTCATGAGTGGCCAGCTTAACTTTCTCGTGTAACTCCTCCGTAGTGGGCATAATGAGGGCTCGGAAATGAGCCGGCTTGAGGACTATGATGTCTTGGTTGTCCTGCTTTCCTTGGTCGTGGTCCGCTCGTCTGGACAGCAGGTCCGCTTTGCGATTTTGGGCCCCTGGTTTATGGTGCAGGGTAAACTGGTATTCGGCCAGTTCCGTTACCCATCGAGCTTGTCGTCGATTAAGCTTCTGAGGCTTGCGGAAGTACTGGAGGTTGGAGTGGTCGGTCCAAATCTCAAAGTCTTCCCGTGCTCCCATGAGATATTGTCGCCATTCTTCCAGGGCAATCATAATGGCGAGGAGCTCCTTGTCGTAGATTTCATAGTTGCGCTCCGTGACGGACAGCGCTTTGGATAAAAACGCGACCGGTCGCCACTTCTCCTCTTGCCATTGGGACAGTACCACCCCTATCGCCCCTTCACTGGAGTCCGCCTCCACTCTGAACTTCCCTTCGTCGAGAGGGATGGTCAGCACCACATCTTCACGAAACAGTTCCTTGAGGTTCTCGAAGGCGTCTTGTTGGGCCTTCCCCCACTTCCATTCCACCTTCCCCGTAAGCGCCGTGAGGGGCTTAACGTGTTTACTATAATCACGAATGAATCGTCGATAGAAATTGCAAAATCCCAGGAAT